GGGGGGGAAAAGTTCACCGATCGTGAAACTGCACGACCTTAATTACCGGTGGAACGGTCGTGTCGTCCCGATAATTTATCACAGCGTGTGAATAGACGAAACGAAGAAACAATTTTTTTTACGTAGCAGACTGACGAGCCGATTATCAATATCAACCGTGGGTGATCCGTACGAAGAGAGTTATCGAACGATGGCTATCTTCGTTTCCCTTCGTTATACGTTCGTATAGATGGACAAGTAATGGAATCGATGAGAATAATCCGATAGCACGCAAGCCTGCGATGAAAGTTGCCGCGGCGCCCCTATCATCGAAAAATAGAGTGGAACGAGTCAAGCGTTGCTGCGACGACGAGGTAAAGGACTCTACTGTTTATCCGTAGGAAAATTCCGAGGCGCTGTTGGCGTGGTATCAACGCAAAAGTACAAAAATAACGTGCATGATCGATATCTAACGGTAAACGCCATTTCATAAGCGAAGAAAGTAAGAGAACAGCGCCTACCTTCCCAAATCGAGAAGGCTGTCCAAGATGTTAACAGCTCTCCCGCTGTGCGAGGTCGCGATCGATTTTCTAATTCCAGGATTACCCGGATGAATGAGTAGAACCAGGACAACACCAAGGACAGCGTTCAACAACGACGATAGTATAAAGTACACCAAAGTTCGGACGGCGATCATTCCGTTCATTCTTGCGTTCAAGCTTGCCGAGCCTGAAAGTTATAAAACGAGATTCATCGATTAGCCTGACAATTATTTTCTCATATACGTTTTATTAGCTTCTTTTCTCATATAACGCATCGTGTTACATGCAGTTACCTGATATGAGGCTGGCAATCACCAGCGGTAAGATCATTAACTTTAACAACCTCATGAAGAGCTCTCCAGGATAACTGATTAACATAACTGCGTCATCGCCCAGGCCCAAGGGTCGTAAACCGAACCCTGAAGAAACAGAAGAAAAATAATGAGATTACCGCTATGATAGCTGCTTCTAGAAGGCTTAAGGCTTAAGGCTATTCATGACGAAGTGACGTAGCACGATAGAAATAAATTCAACTGCTGAACTTCTTTTCCGTTAAAAAAAAAAAAAAAAGTTATATCCATACAGTACACTGTAGGTTATGTATGTACGGACGATAATTTTTCGATAACTATTATTTTTAATGCCGTAATTGATCGTTGATTGTCTATAGACGGGGGCGAGCTATAGAAAAAAGAAATGCTTTGTCGATGTGCATGTGCTGGATAAGTGTAAAAATGGAACGCGTTTAACGTGATTGTGAACGATTTCAACGACAGCGTTGTTCCGTTAAAAACGGGTATCCTCGAGTTCGAACGGGGCATGCCGTGGCAATTAAATCCGCAAAAAGAACGAGTGAAAAGCGTAACTGAAAACACGTCGACAGTCCTCGAGCTGTTTCAGAGGGATTCGTTTTCAATGCAACTCCGAAGAAAAGTTGACCCGTACGTTCCCGTTCAAGGTTGTCCTTTCGGCTTCCAGGAAATAAGTTAGTTAATTAGATGAGACTTTCCCTTCCCTTCAAAAGAAACCTTTCGTCGATGATTGCCACCTTTTAACAGGATGACACAGCTGGCGCTTTATGTAACTAGCGTTAATTTCAATATGGATCGTTTCCGTTAATGGCACGAGAGGACTTATCCAATCTATATCCCTTCTCGTTTGTCTATTTCAATTTACGCCGGCGAATTCGACTCGTGAGGGAACGTCATTGACAGGTATAGATTCGCCTATTATGAAGCCCCGATCGTTAAGTAGCGCGCATAACCATTTATTAGCACGTGTGTGACGTTCGTACACGTGACGCAACAGGAAACTCGCGTTTTTTCTTTTTTTTTTTTTTTGCTATAAAATTATAACACAGGAGAAATAAAGAAATAAAAGAAGAAAGAAATAAAGAGAAAAAAAGAGAGAAAAAACGAGAGAACGGAGATAGCTTCTGCCTACGACTGTTATCGATCGTGAGAAAAAGTAAGATCGGCTGGTATCGGATGAACTCGACCTTGGCACGCTTCCTCGTAATGGACGAAAGCGTAGGAAGCTTTTGGCATGATTCTAC